TAGAATTTATAGGAATTATAGAAATTATAGAAGTTATAATAAATAATACGACTATCTGAATGTTCCTATTCGTAACAGCGCTAATGTTACTCTAATTTTAACTGTATTGCTTAAATTAAATTAGTATTACACTTATCATTTTTTGATATTATACTTATTCTAAATTTATCTTATAATTGTTTTTAAGTAATATCACTCATAATGTAGATTCATATTACATTTACATGTATTTAAACAGATGTAATTTAATATAGAATAACAAGAATCTCAATAGTAATTTTGAAAATAATAAAGTATAAAAGTTAATTAATACTTCTAAATAATCTTTTGCTTATTATTATTTTTGATTTATTATTTACTTAATTTTGACTTACCCAACTAGTAGAAGTCATCTTTTGTATTTTAATAAATTATTCGCACTTTTGAATTATAAAATACTTACCTAACTAGTAAAAGTATTAGAATCTATTTCTTTTTTTAATAATATCTCCCAATCATCTAGTATTCAACTCTCTCAAGTACACACAGTTACTATTATCACTCTTATATAATTCTTAATTAATTACTATAATTAGTTAATATTTTGTCTATTAATATAAGAACAGTAATAATATTAATATTTATTTTAATATAAAAACTTTGATATAATAAAAATGTAAAACTTTTAAATATTTAATTATTTCTTAAACTGTTAGGATTAGCAGATAAATTTGTCTGTTAAAATTTTATAAATTTATATCTAATATATTTTTACCAAAAATTAAAATATGTTAAAAAAAGTTTGTTTAATTTTAGCTTTAATTATATATTATATAATAATTATTTTTACTTTTTTAATAATTATAAAAAAATTATAGCTATCTATAAATTAAAAATAAGCAATTTTAAAAAATTTTTATTATTAATCTTAAATTTTAAAAATATTTTATAATAAAATTACAAATTTTATATTATATTAATTAAAAATATGCTATATTTTTATTTTATTTTAGAAAAAAAGGGAATTAAGCTTATAAAAATTAGAAGTAAATATACAAATATAAGCTAAAAAAAATTTTAGCAGGCAAATTTGTTCACTAATAGTTTAAAAGATAATAAAATTTTAGTTATTTTACAATAATATTTATTGATATGTTTATTATATTTTAAACTTAGAATTTATTTTAAAAATTTGATTTAATTTTAAAAATTAAATTTATTTGTGCTTTGTTATAATATAATGCAAAAATTTTTTCTATTAACAAAAATAAAAAAATTAGTTAAATATTTATTATCACTATAATATAATAACTAAAAAAATTATAAAATTGAGATTTGCTAAAATTAGAATTAGATTGTAATTATTTTTTTAAAAAAATTATCTAGAACTTGATCCTTAAAAACTAATTAATATTTCTAATATTATATATAAAAAATAATAAATTTCAAAAATCTTTTTTTAAATATTTGTTTTATTATTTATTTATTTTAAAAAATATTTATTTATTTTAAAAGATAATTTTTGTGATATATAATAGTAATTAAAAAAATATAATAATATCAAAATCTATTAACAAAATATAGATTTTTTTATATAAAAGTTTTTAATTTTACTAATTAATACTTTTTAATTTTATACAAAATACAAATAATAATCCATATTTTAATGATTTAATCATTATTTGTTTATATAAAAATAAAAAATGTTAATTAGTAAAATTGAAAACTTTTATATAGAAGAAAAATTCATATTCTGTTATAATTTATTAATAAATTTTGACACTGTTGCATTTCTTTTGATTGTCATATTAAATATCAATAAAATATATTTAATTTAAGACAACTACAAATTTCAGAATATCAAAAAAATTAAATACTGATTTAAATATTTTGAATATAAATTCTTATTTATTCATTATATGATTGATTGTAAATTAAAAATTTAAGTTTAAAATTACTTATCAAATATTGATCTTTGCAAAAATTATATTTCTTTTACTTTGATGAGTGAATCATAAATATTACATAATTGCTAATGCTTGTATGGTGCAGGAACTCTTAAATCGACAATATATTTCATATTAAACTAAGAAGTAAATCCAAAATTTAACCGGTAATATTATAGAAAAGGACTTTCTTTGGTAATATTACCGGTCAAACTTTGAATTTACTTCTTAATTAAAAAATTGATAGAATTTTTAATATGAAACATATTGTCGATTTAAGAGTTCCTGCACCATATTAGGAAAAATATTTATTTAAATAATATTACCTAATTTGTTGATACAAAAAAAAATATTATGAAAAAAGATGCTTTGTTTAAATCTGAAAAAGAAACAGCGATTTTGTGTTGCGTATTTATTCTGTTCTATAAAAACCTTTGGAAGGAACCGAACTTTTAAAAAATGGATTTGGATTTTGGCCAGCACCAAGAAATTACATAATCAAATCATGTGACTAACGAGATAAATTTATATGACGATCACCAATTCTTTTTTTACTTCACAAATGCCTCGCAAATATAAAAAATATATCAAGGCAATCGAGAAGGAAGTCGAAGCATTAAAAAAGAAAAGGTCACTAAACGAAATTATTTCCGGGGCTGAAAAAGAAGCCGAATCTGAAGCTTCAAGCAAAAAACGTAAAAGTTCCCTAAAGAGCAATAATGATCCCAAGAAGCCAGAAGAACAAAAAGAACAAGAAAAACAAAAACCAGAACAGCCTTCACCTAAACTACCCGAAACCCTGAACAAAACACCAGAACAGCCTCCACCTAAACTACCCGAAAAACCCTCAGAGAACAAAACACAAGAAACCCTGAACAAAACGCAAGAAGCCCTGAATAAACTATTACATTCTCGGTCTTCAAAACCAAACAACAACAATACAAATGTATTTCTAGTACCGCAAGCACCGCGTCTACCCAAAACACAAGCCGAAAAAGAGACCACGCGTCGACTCATTGTAGTGTTAGAGCAAGCGTGTCTAGAAACTTATAAATTCCGTAAAAGCAAAAATTATGAGTTGTTGAATTGTGACGATCATGTCTCGGTGCTGCAGAAAATGGGTAGAACGCATTCTGACGCTAGACCGGATATCACGCATCAGGTAATGATTTATAAATTAATAATTCCGCATGTTTACTTATTATGGTATTCTTTTCTAAAATAATTCATTTACTTGACTCAGTGTTTGATGCAATTGTTGGATAGCCCGCTAAACAAAGCCGGACTGTTGCAAGTTTATATTCATACCGCGAGAAATGTATTGATCGAAGTGAATCCGCATGTGAGAATACCAAGAACTTTTAAACGATTTTGTGGACTGATGGGTAAATATCTGCATGATTATTATTTGACTTGATTCTTTCAATAGAGCTCATAATTTCTGTTCCTATCTTTCGTAGTGCAATTACTTCATAAACTCAGTATCAGTTCAGTAAAAGGCAGCGAGAAACTCTTACGAGTCATAAAAAACCCAATCACACAGTATCTGCCAACAAACTGTCACAAAATAAGTAAGTCTCTTAGAATCCATTTATTCACATTGAAAATAGATAATCAATAATTATTCAATAACACAAAAAATTAGCACTTTCATATGACGCAAAAACGGTGCGCCTTAAAGATTACCTACCCGTCATACCATCCGACTATTCTATATGCGTCGCGATCGGTGCAATGCCTCACGGTGAAGACAGTTTCGCTGATAGCTGGGTAGACGAAAAAATTAGTATATCGGAGTACTCGCTGTCTGCTGCGGTGGCGTGTTCTAAATTTTGTTGCGCTTTAGAGGATTTTTGGGATGTTTTATGATCAAATGGGCTGGTTTTTTTCGAAAAATTTGATGTATTTTGAAACTCAGATAACAAACCACTAATTGCTATATAGTTTTACAAATATTAAAATATACATACATACAATACATTACAGATGACCTTTTAACCTCTCGATAACAAAACTATTCACAAGACCTTTATTAAAATTATTCATCATGCACCTAGATAGAAATTAAGAATTACTATGATAAAAAAGGTAGAAACTAATTTCAAAAAAAGAATGCGAATTATATTTTTTAGTTTCACTCTTAGCCATCTGATTAATAATAGTCGCTCCCTATCGAAAGCAAACCAATCAAAAGAAAATTAAAGAGCTATTATCCAGAAATCCAAATCCACGAAGTTCCACATCCTGCACCAATTTTACTTATTATCCCATCCCCATTAACAAATTTCGGGCTCAAAACATTGACTGTATTTCCTGAGCCACAACTTCCATGCTCGTTCCATCCCCAGGTCAAGCACTGACCGGTTGTCGTGATGGCAAGTGAATGCTCTGAACCACACGTAACAGCGGCAATAACATGGCGGTGGCCATCATCAGGAAACACGACTAATTTAGGGATATAACAAAGTGGAACCGGTTGAATAATAAAACCTTGATCTTCACTTTCTATTCTTTGAATAATTCCTAATTGACCATGATCATTTCTTCCCCATATTATTACTTGACCATCGTCGTTACGTGCTATTGTGGCGCTCCAACCACATGATATTTCCACTATTCTACCGGGAAACACAGACACTTTTCTTGGTTGTTCAGCATGTGTTATATCATGCGGAGATGCATATCCAAGCTGTCCATATTTATTATTACCAAATGTGTAAATGTCACCTGCTGCGGAAAGAACAACAGTATGATTTCGACCACAAGCAATATCTGCTATGAAAAAAGACGACTCTTTATCAATTGCGATTCGAACAGGCGAAAAATATTGGATATTTTTCGTAGATTTTGATGATAACCCCACAAGTTTTTCATTATACTCATTATTAATAATTGTGCCTAGTTGACCATAACGATTACTTCCCCAGCCAAAACACACACCGTTAGTAGTCAACGCGACTGAATGTCGCAAACCACACGCGACTTTACAAACATTTGCGAGTCCTTCAACTCGTAGAATTTTGCCATTCAAAGCTAGGTTTGAAGGCCCACACCCCAACTCACCAAACGAGCCTTTACCAAACGCGTATACATCACCTCTTTCAGTCGATATAATTGTATGGGTCCAACCACACGCAACACTTTTGATTGCGCTTATACTTTGCGTGTTTGTATTTTTGTCTTCATTAAGTACAACTTTTTCAAAGGCAGTCAAGTTTGAAATGTTACTTGGTAAACCGCATTGACGGTCAGTGTTCAGTCCACTCATCCATAACTCGCCTTTATTGGTGATAACAGCGGAATGGTTTCCACCGCCTGTTATCATTTGCGGTGAGTCAATAAAGGGATTAGTGTGTCCAGAAAAAGAACACGGGGAAGGAAAGAGCACGTCATCTTTATTTCCAACACCTAATTGTCCGTTACCATTGGAACCGAATGCATATAAATTCGTTTTTGACATTATCAAGAGATGTAGAATTTAATTAAACATCTCGATCGAAATTTCAAACCACTTGATTTCACTCAACCAATCACAAAACGCAATTTTTTTTTATAATAAATTTTTTTGACCTTTTGTTTATTTGCAACATGGCCTTGAGTTCGCGGAATTCCATTCCTGAAGAGCTTTATAGTTTGGTGCATGACTTTCTAGCTGACGCTGGACTAAAAAATACTTTAAAAACTTTTGAAGAGGAGTCACCCGCAAATGTTCGAGTTAAAGTCAAAAAATTCTCCCGAAATTTATTATAAAGTTCACGTGTACACCTCATAACTTACTCTTTTCTGACAGGTTAAAACAACAAAAGATAAACTATTTGATATTTATAAATCCTACGAGTCTCAAAAGTAAGCAACAGAAAAACGAGCTCGATAAGAATTCTTTAGGTTTTGGCGGATAATATTAACTTTAGTTTTTATCTCACTCGCGTCAATGTTACTTGTTGCTCCAGAAAAATCACTACGTCTGAAAAATCATCTGATTCAAAAGCAGAGCCAGAGAGCAGTAGTAATAAGGACAGCTCTTCTGAGTATGTATCATTACTTATACAACCCTTTTTTGTTATATTATCAATACTTAAAATCAAAATTTGTCTGGTCTCTAGTAGTGAATCTTCTAGCGAGGAAGAATTTATTACAAATAGCGATGTTGTTAATGTAAAAAAGTCGAATGAGGAAGAAGAAAAAGATGATGACGATGACAATTCAGACGATGACAATTCAGACGATGACAATTCAGACGATGACAATTCAAGCGATGAAGATAAGATGAACATGAAATCTGCGAATGATGAGGTTGTTATTAAGAATGTTAGTGATGAAGAAAGTGATTCTGATAGTTCTAGTGAAGAAGACGAAGACGCGATGAAAATCGATCAACCGTCAGTTCCTAAAGATAAACGAAAAAGCAAAAAAGATTCTGATGAGAATTCTGATTCTGAAGAAGAGGAATTCGATGATGACAATAATATCATTGATAAAGAAGAGGAGGCATTTCCCAAAAATATAAAGAAAGAGCAAACATCCTCGACGAATAAAACAACGAGTGAACCAATGGATTCTGGATCGTCATCTGATGAAGAGGAAGATGATGAATCTCTAGCCAATAAAAAGACAGAATCTAAGATAGAACAAAAAAACAATGCTAAAAGCTCCTCGAGTGATTCGAGTGATGAAGATTCTAGCGAAGAAAGTAGCGATAATCAAATCAATGAAGACAGTAATAATAGCAGCAGTAGTAGTAGTTTGATGAGCAGCAGCAGCACTAGTAGCAGTAGTAGCAGCAGCAGTAGTAGCAGCAGCAGTAGCAGCAGCAGCAGTAGTATCAGCAGCAGCAGTAGTAGTAGCAGTAGTAGCTCATCTGACAGCAGTAGCGAAAATGAAAAAGTTTCTCATGTTAAAAAGTCAATGAACGGTTACAGCAACAATCATAATTACATAAAATTGGAAATAAACCAAACCCCTAAAAAACATAAAAACGAATCTTACGGTGCTCAATTTGAAAGTAACAGCAAAAAATTAAAATCCAATGCGAGGCAAGTTTATATACGACCTTTTTATTGTTTTTATTATTGAGGACGTGTGTTTAATATGTTATGCCTGTTGAATAATAGTACTGCTATAAGGACTACTTCGTACCCTATTAATCACAAGAATGGCTTTATAACATCGAAACCATCATCATCGCCAAATTCTAATGAACACAACGGTATTAACAAGAATAAACAGGTAAAGTTTGCAAATAGGCTCATCTAAATCATAAAATACTAACCTAAATTACCTATATAAAAAATCGAAGCAAATTGTCAATGGTAATGCAGAAGATACTCACAATCCCCAGAATAATAAGCAAAACAATAACAACAAATATCATCGAAAAATTGATCCAGAAAAAATAGAATTTCTCGATGAGCGATTAAAGGACAATAGTTTTTTGGCAAAAGTAGGCTTTATATTTCTACTGGATATTATATCGTAATTCACTATGAATAATTTTTCAAGTAATTAATATGAAATTTTCATGTTAATATTAGAGCGGTGCAATCGGTTCGTATGGACACAAAGCACACCTTGATTTCAGCGTAAAGCGTGGAAAAGACTTTCGCGCGCAAAAGACAAAGAAAAAACGAGGTTCTTATCGCGGCGGGAAAATAGACATGACATCACATTCGATAAAGTTTAATTTCGATTAATACAATACATATCTGTATAATAGCTTATTATAAGTCGCCTGAATCTCGTGTCTGTCTTTTTCTATTAATTGGACCTATGATTGATTGACATGTAACTAAGCATCTATATTACAAAACACATTTATTCTATTCTAAAAATTTCAAATGTGATACGATATTCTTTTCCCCGTTGCGTCAATCCTCCAAATTATTATTTCGCCCAATCAAATCACAAACAAATAAAATTAATAGTTTCGGTTAAGGTTAGCTTGATACTTAAGATCTAAAGTTATATTTATTATATTTTAAAGTTCCCCTTTTTAAATTGCGTTTTGTGGTACACTGTTATCATGAGGACAGTCCGCGTCCATGTTCAGCATTTTTTATGTCCAGAACTTTGATGTCTGCACTAAAGAATATTGTCTTTCCATTGCGCATGCTATTTGCGTAGCAAGATGATCACTTGATTCAGTTCATCCATATCTTCTAAAAATTCATCGGAATCAAATCCCTGAGTAAGAAGATATGCATTGTTCCACCACATCCTTTTCTGGAATTTTTAATAAATGTATGATCTTAGACGCGAAATTGGGACAAAGTTCCTTTATCCATAGTTCTATTTGTATTAATGCCGGCACATCATTTGTTAATCTCGGCCAAGGGACTTTAGTGCTATGTTGAGATTGATTTGTCCGTGTTCTGCGGATGTGAACTTTCGGACATGTCCCATGTTCACCAAAAATCACCAGACAACATCCGTGTACAGCACTACTATTACCCCGCACTTCTTATTTTTAGATAATTGTTAAGCCTTTACGGGGTCCAAGCCAGGTAGTTACACACGATATATAATCCGGATTGCAATCATGTGAACAAATTGAATAGCCAAAACTTCCCCAGCTTCGCCAACAAAAAATCACGCTCACATGAGCACGGAAAATTAATGTTAAAAGCTATTTATCATTCGGGTTAGGGTATGGGTTAGGTGAAGGAGCTTATATGTAAAATTGTCTTCCTGACATTTTTTGTTAATGCTTCAAGCCAGATTTTGGGAACAGTTAAAGTGAAGTAGTGTCCAGCCACAAATATCGCCATCTATACATGTAACTTGTGGCATGATGGCACATGTATCATATATATCACATGTATGTGCATGTATCAAGAATATTTTTTTGTGTTAAATTATGTGATATCATGAACAAATTTTATTGCAGTATGATAATATTATTAGCATTCTCAAATTTTTCTTTTTCAAGTTGATTTTAAATTAGATGAATCTGTTAAAGAGAGAAAGTCTGGTATTGTTATCATTAGTAATCTTTACGAATAAAGATCTTTATTATAATAGACAGTGACTATATTCACATGAAAAAGCATGAAAGAATGAACAAAATATGAAATAATCTTTTAATATTATTATGTGTTAGTCAAAGTGCTAAATAATTCACAAAGAATCTAATAAGTTCACTAAGAATTTTAAGAATAATATAAGTTTTAAGAAATAGAAGTGAGTTCATCAAGAATTATGAAAGAATTATAAAAGATTTATAAAAGATAGAACACAAAGTTCTTTAATATACGAGTATTACTTCACCAAGAAGCAATTTAAATTCACTAAAAATCTTTATTATTATTTAAGAAAAAAACACAAAGTAATCAATTCTTCTGATAAACACACAATAAGTCAATTATTATATTTATTAAAGAATAAAAGCAAAGAAACTTTATTAACACTAAGTTAATCAAAAATTATTTATCTAGCTAAAATACATATTATATTATTCATTACTCAATCTTTTTAATCTAGAACTAATCTATTCTATTTAGAATGAAACTTAATTCATTTTATAAATTATCTTGTGGTGCTTGTCTCAATGTTTCACATCTTTTATTTAAGTATAACTAATTACTATGAATTACTATTAAGCTAATTTGATCTTTAAAGATTAATTAACATGTGTTTTTCATATTAATAATAATAATATAAAATAATAAGAATTAAATACAAATAATATGAAATATATTTAAAGTAGAATGAATTAAAGATGGTTGCTGAAATCGAATTATTTCAGTTTTGCTGAAACTGAAATAATTTTAGTATTAATATTTTAAAAACTAAATTATCAAATTGATGAATTAAAACTGAATTATTTCAGTTTTACTAAAACTGAAATGATTTTGATATTAAAACTGAATTGTCAAATTAATAAATAATAACCAATTAAATTATATTTATTGATTATATTTATTGATTGTCTATTTATTACTATATATATATACTATTATTTAATGATTATTTAGTTTTTAACAATTATCTATTCTTTAATAATTATCTATCATTTTTTAATACTATTATAACAAGTGAACAAGACTTTGTTTTCAAAAAAATATAATCTGTTAAAGTTTCTTTGAAATTATCATCTGATCATTTTTCTGCAGAATATAAATTTTGTAAATATATTATCTTGAATTTATTATAGCTAAAGATATATTAACTTCAGAAAAAACCACATTAAATAAAAAACAAAAACAGAAACACAATTAAAAATTAATGATTTTTATGAAAACTAAAATCTATCTAAATTTAAAATAAATATCATTAATAAAGCTCTTATTAAAGTTTTTGTTTGTTGTAATATCTCATTTACCATTATCAATAATCTCTTTTTTTGAGAACTTCTTTATCAATTATAATCCTTCTTCATATAAATTATTCGCTGGTTAACTTTTGAATCAAGAAATTACTTATATAAATCAATAAATAAAAAATTAAAAAATGCAGAAATTTAACTCTCAGTAAGTTATTTTATTAAAATAAAAAATCATATAATTTAAATTTTATTTTAAAATTTAGTTTTTTATAGCTTTAGATGGTTAAATAACAACAAATACTATTTCAATATATAACTTTATTATTTTGATATTTGAATAATATTAATATTTATATTATCTTTGTGACTTTTCAGCATTATATCATACTGAAGAATTTTTAGCTAATAAAATAAAAATAAAGTTGGATCAAAAAAATTTAAAGCAATTATTACTAATGTTATAATTGAAAATTTTTATAAACTCCAAAAATATCATAAACTCTGTATTCTTTGTAATTTTTATATATAAATCAATTAGATGAATTTTATATTTTATCATTTTTATAATTCTTATATAATTTATTATTAATGTAACATTTATTAGTAAAAAATATTTATTATAAATAAAGCAATATTAAGATCTTGAAAAAAGGTATCAATTGATCAATACAAAATCTAGCTAGTCAATAAATTACTTCTTATTTATTGTTTAATAAAATTGTATATTAATTAATTTATAATTATTAATCTTGTTATAACACTTACTTTATATACTACTAAATACTTAATTAGGTTGCTATAGAATATCAATACTGTATTGTTATAAAATCATCATTATACAAAGTAAATACAAAGAAAATATTTATTAGTAGTAGTGCTATCTATTTTAAATTAATAGAATAAAAAAAATCACACAACATCACAATTCTAAAGCAACTAAATTGAATTATTAACTTATCAAGATAGACATTAGTTGAATATATATATCATGAAATTATCTATCTGAGCCTGGAACTTGTGATATTAATAATAGAGTAAATATAAAACTAGCTCATGAATTAATTATTAAAGAATATCCTCAAATTTTAAATTTGTATTGTATTACTTATTTTATCAATTTAATTACAAAATCAATACTTAGTAAGTAAATACTTGAAAAATAACATTTATTATTATATTTTTATATTAATTTTTATTAATTATTAGAATATAAAAAGACTATAAATTTACTTTCAATTTGTAATAATATTATAAAATTCTTTAAACAATCACATATCAGTCATCATTTATTAACTGAAGCAGCAACAAATTTAAAAATTGAAGAAGATGAACTTAAATTATTTATTAAAACAAGATAAACTTTAATATATAAAACTACATCTTCAATTATATAAATGCAACATGCATTAGAAAAGGTATAATTTTTATTTATTAATATAATATAATTAATAATAAAATTAAACTTTTTTATTTTTATAATTAAAAGATAG